AGATAACGCTCAGTTTGACCTTGATTTCACGAGCATTACAAAGTTAAAGCACATCATTGCACAGTGCTGGTTCATGCTATTGCTCAATAAAAAGGTCTGTTTTTTCAGGTGGCTAATTATAATGACCCTGGTAGTTTTTGTTTCTGTGTCCAAATATAAACAAGTTATACTTTCTAAAGAAAACTAGTACGATTAGAAAACAAATGTGGCCAATAATTTTGTCCTCTGTATATATATTAACACTGTAATAACACAGATCAGATTTGTGTAAGTAAATTCACCCATAAAGTTAATCATATGAATTATTTGCTCAAATCTTGAAACAGTTTTACGAAATTTTGTGCGTGACATGCTAGATAGCATCCTCATCTTACTGAGTCCCTGAGACCATTTTTCCTTCATTTTTACTCATCTGTATAAAAAAATAAACTAAATGTATTTACTTAAATGTTAATCAAGCACATTAGTCATGAGGACCATTTTTACGCCTCCTGTAACACTGCAGTATTACTCACTTAGTGGTGATTGGATTTTGAAATGAAAAGCTGTGCACTATAAAGGTGGATGCATCTTAAACCCTCGAGCTGTAAATATAAACATGTATGCTGGAAGTAGAGATGAAAACTGAAGTTTGTGCATGGTGAGAAAGCAAACAAGTGGCATGTAGCTTTGGAAAAGTGGACCATTTGATTAGCAATTAGCAGATTTAAAAAAATAGTTCTCCATCAAAGTGTGTAGTCAAGGCCCTGAAGCAGGGGTAAAATTAGATATCTATTCTTGTCTGGTAAAGGCTCAAATAGTTACAGCTGCAACAAAAAGGGCTCGTGTGAGAGCTCTACAGTTAGGAGCAAGAATAAAGTTCACAATAAGTCTGCAAACTTAAACTGCGCTTGTTAAGTGGATAAATGTGTAAAGGCTACTCACTGAGTTTTCTGTCTGCACCGAGCTGCAAACTCACCAGATGTGACTTTGCATATTAAATTCTTCTACAGTAAAGACGACAGTTTAACACAGATGAACACTAAACACTGAATAAGAGGCTGTGTTTCCCTGGCAACTATTCTGCAAATATCCTGCCTTCCTCCTGTCTGCACTCTCCCCTGATTCAATTCAATTCAATTTTATTTATATAGCTCCAAATCACAATGACAGTCACCTCAAGGCGCTTTATATTGTACAGTAGATTGTACAATAATAGATACAGAGAAAAACCCAACAATCATATGACCCCCTATGAGCAAGCACTTTGGCGACAGTGGGAAGGAAAAACTCCCTTTTAACAGGAAGAAACCTCCGGCAGAACCAGGCTCAGGGAGGGGCGGCCATCTGCTGCGACCGGTTGGGGTGAGAGAAGGAAGACAGGATAAAGACATGCTGTGGAAGAGAGACAGAGGTTAATAACAGATATGATTCAATGCAGAGAGGTCTGTTAACACATAGTGAGTGAGAAAGGTGACTGGAAAGGAAAAACTCAATGCATCATGGGAATCCCCCGGCAGCCTACGTCTATTGCAGCATAACTAAGGGAGGATTCAGGGTCACCTGGTCCAGCCCTAACTATATGCTTTAGCAAAAAGGAAAGTTTTAAGCCTAATCTTGAAAGTAGAGATAGTGTCTGTCTCCCGAATCCAAACTGGAAGCTGGTTCCACAGAAGAGGGGCCTGAAAACTGAAGGCTCTGCCTCCCATTCTACTTTTAAATACTCTAGGAACAACAAGTAGGCCTGCAGAGCGAGAGCGAAGTGCTCTAATAGGGTGATATGGTACTACAAGGTCATTAAGATAAGATGGGGCCTGATTATTTAAGACCTTGTATGTGAGGAGCAGGATTTTGAATTCAATTCTGGATTTAACAGGAAGCCAATGAAGGGAAGCCAAAACAGGAGAAATATGCTCTCTCTTTCTAGTCCCTGTCAGGACTCTTGCTGCAGCATTTTGGATTAACTGAATGAATTACAGTAGTCCAGCCTGGAAGTAATAAATGCATGAACTAGTTTTTCAGCGTCACTCTGAGACAGGATATTTCTAACTTTAGAGATGTTGCGCAAATGGAAGAACGCAGTCTTACATATTTGTTTAATATGTGCGTTGAAGGACATGTCCTGGTCAAAAATGACTCCAAGGTTCCTCACAGCGTTACTGGAGGCCAAGGTAATGCCATCCAGAGTAAGAATCTGGTTAGATACCATATTTCTAAGTTTTCAGGGCCGAGTACAATAACCTCAGTTTTATCTGAATTAAGAAGCAGAAAGTTAGCGGCCATCCAGGTCTTTATGTCTTTAAGACATTCCTGCAGTTTAACTAATTGGTGTGTGTTATCTGGCTTCATGGACAGATAGAGCTGGGTGTCATCTGCATAGCAGTGAAAATGTATGCTATGTCTTCTAATGATGCTGCCTAAGGGAAGCATGTATAATGTAAACAGAATTGGTCCTAGCACTGAACCCTGTGGAACTCCATAATTAACCTCAGTGTGTGAAGAGGACTCTCCATTTACATGCACAAATTGGAGTCTATTAGATAGATATGATACAAACCACTGCAGTGCAGTACCTGTAATACCTACAGCATGTTCTAATCGCTCTAATAGGATATTATGGTCACAGTATCGAACGCTGCACTAGAGGTCTAGCAGGACAAGCACAGAGATGAGTCCACTGTCAGAGGCCATAAGAAGATCATTTGTAACCTTCACTAAAGCTGTTTCTGTGCTGTGATGAGCTCTGAAACCTGACTGAAACTCTTCAAATAAACCATTCCTCTGCAGATGATCTGTTAGCTGTTTGACAACTACTCTTTCAAGGATTTTTGATATGAAAGGAAGGTTGGAGATTGGCCTATAATTAGCTAAGACTGCTGGGTCTAGAGATGCTTTTTGAGTAAAGGTTTAACTACAGCCAGCTTGAAGGCCTGTGGTACAAATCTCTGATGAGATTCGATGATGCAATGGCAGCAGCAGCAGTGTTAATAGTTACACCAGTCAGCGGGTAAGAGTGCTGGAGGTGTGCGAGACACTCAGTCAGTAAGATGAGCTTAACAAGCTTAAATGAAGACATAAAAAAGGAAAGAAGAAAGCAAGAAGCACCATTCACGGGCTCCCAGACTGAACAGATTGTTAAGCGTCTGTACTTTAAATGGTATTACTCCATCAAAACCACCCTGGGACATAGAAAACGTCTATAATCCACAACTGTGTGTGGATTACAGCTGCTTTTAGTGTATGGTCTAAATATGTGAATCAAATATATATAATGCCGTGCAGTTGCTTATGGTAAAAAGAATTGTTACCCGACTCTGCAGATGCTCATTAAGGCAGCTGGAGTAGATTGTCTACCAGCCAGAAGGCTGGTGGTTTGACTCCTCCATGTCTGAATATCCTGAACCCCAAGTTGCCCCTGATGCATCTATTGGAGTGTGAATGTTAGATTAGGTGCTTATGTAACAGAGGTGAAGGTAATTTTTGTACAAGTGTTACTAAAGGAGGGAAACCCTCCTCAAAAACGGACGGAGCAGTGGAGCAGCCAAGAGAATGCACTGAATTAAAGACTGTATAATTAAAATATAATTTATTATATTTAAACAGTTAAAAATGTAAAATGAATTAAAACAACCCTGGCCAGGGAACAACACAATACACATTAATAAAACACAACATTAAAAACCCAGTGGCGTCCACCACGGTATAAAAGTCACTCAAAATTAAAAATCCAGGCAAGCAGTGTGCAAGGGGGAAACCCGGCGGCGTCCTCGCCTTCCTGTCCGTGTTCTCCACTCCGGCGCGCCCGGGTGGGCAGAGCTCTTAACTCTGCCCGCCGCTTCCTTGTAACACGCCAATCGGCACCGGCCTGTCTCGCCGCGGAAGGTAGAGCACTGTCTCACCACCTCTAGTTCCCCGCAAAAGCGTGATCTGGCCTCCAGTTACTCCAGCAGCCGGAGCGCTCTCTCCGATCCCTGCTCACTGGCGTCGTCTCCTCGTTCACAGCCCATGCCAACCTTGACCAGCCCTCCGGGCTTGCAGGCGCCACCGCCTGACACCATTCACTCCGCCACTGTTGCCTGTCTCTCAAGCCTCCCCTCAAGCCTCCTTCTCTGTGGTCTGCCAGGCCCTCTTATTGACCTCTGGGACCTCCCAGGTGTGATCAGGTTCATAATCAGGTAGGGGCGGAGTCTTTCCAGGACAAGTTACCAATAAATACCATAAAAACATGCAATAAAACTCATAAAAATAAACCAGCGTACAATATTAAAATATTAAAAAGGTAAAACACAGCAAAACATGCATAGTAAAAAACCCTAGATAACTTGTCCCTTTTCCACCCCGTGACACAAAAAGCACCTGTATGAATATGTGTTTGGGTAAAAATCTAGTAAAAAGTGCTGTGAGTGCTCAGTTAATGTAGGAAAGAAATATACAAGGCCAGCTATTTATTCTGCCTTAGCCTGCCAACAGCGGTATGCTCTGCAAGCCATTTTGCAACCCACCCCTAACCGAGCTCCATGTTAATGCTTTATCTGACTCACTCAGGCAGTTTAAATAAATACAGATTAAATTAACAATCTTCTTTGACTGTCGTGGTCTTGACTGACCTGTTTTCAGTTTCTGGTCAAACCAAGGTAGCCTTCATCAGTTAAAAACAACTAGATACAAAGTTACTGGCTATCTAAAGAAACAAGCATGGTTAAGATAAAGAACAGAGCTGAAGGAGAGTGAGTGTGTGGCGAAAAATCTGTTATTTGTGGGTTTAAACAAAGGCTTGAACATTTTTTGGATGACGTCACATGTTCAGTCTGGCCAATTATAATCATATCACAGTCATATTTGTTCCTAATTTGTTGCCGTTACCAACTCTTAACATCTTGATATCCAAATAAACAACACACTACATTCCTGTTTTTCCCCACATTGTCTCCACATGTAGTTGAAATTTACGCCGACTCCCCTCCCTCTGCTTTTTTCTTCTTCTTGTTACCCTCCTTAATCTGTTTCTCTGTCTTTGTCAGGTTGTGGGTGCTGATGCTGTAACCACTGTTTGGAGCTGACAAGCCCTGGTTGATGCAGTGAAGTGTTCCAGTGGGATAAACACAAGCAAAGGTAGGAATGCAAGCAGATAACTCGGAGAAAGAAAAACAGAAGCATACAAAACACCATTCGGGGAAAGAGGAGAGGCAGATTTTCTGAATAAAGATTGGTGAAGATGAGAGCTGAACGAGTGCAGTCGCTGAATCCGTTGCATACAGTACAGCTGCTAAAGGGTTTGATTCACAGACCACTGAATACTCAGTTAGTGACAGAAAGATTGTGGTTAGAGACAGAAAGGAAGAAAGACAGAACAGAAAGGGAATGCGGATGGTATTATTGGTGAGTTAATAGAGGTTAGGCTTGGCAGTGCCATTCCTGTGCTCACTAAATCCACACTGATGAAGCTCCTGGGCTGTAACAGGAGGAATCTTTCAGTGAGAGCTGAAAGGAGGCTGGGAGGCTTAGCGCTGACGCTTGGCTTCCAGTCTGGACCAGATTTGCTTTTCAGGCCCATGTGGGAGCCGGGCTGTGTCTTTATTAAGGCTCGAGGAGCCCCTCGCTTTGGTGTCTCTTGCCGGACTACAGATGAGAGCTGTGTGTGCTGTGCGGTTGCATAAGAGAGGCACTTTCATCCACTCAAACACCGGCAGACTGCAAACACTGTGCGTGTGAGAGGAGCTGCAACCGGTGGCCACCAAAGGCACACTTCCTAATTCCACAGAGTGCTGCGTCTCAGCGCCCAGAGAGTCCATCTGTGATGCATCCAGTGGCTTCGTGGAAAGTTTTAATAGCAAACGTGTGTTTGCGCTACCCTATCGCCATTTCCATTCTGCCACTTGGATTTGTTTGCGCCCGAGGGCCACCAGTGAGGCCGAATGGCACCTTGACAGAGATGTGCTGCGACAAGACAAGGCCAAAGAAGCCGGGAGAGTGCTGCTGAGTGGTGAAATAGGGAAGTGAAGCAGAAAGGAGAGCTGAAGGGGATATTTTTGAGGAACCCATTCTGACGTCAGAAACAAAAAAAGAGAGAAGAGACTTTTCTCTATTTGAGTAGAAATGATATAAACGCACACACAAAAAAAGAGAGAGAGAGACATCTTATGTTCTGTAGACTCACAAGCTTACAACAGCAAAAATAAAACAAAAAAAAGCCCATAGAGCAAATAGAAAAGGAAAAAAACCCACAGGCCTTTAAATAGATGTCTAAAAAAAAGAGAAGTGTTAAGTGGACAGACTGAGGGAGAAAGAGCGAGAGCAGAAGTTTACATCAGTCTCTAAGAAAAGCCGAGAGTGGAAACCGGTGGAAACCATCGTGGGACTCCCGTTGTCACTCTGGGATTTACTGACAGGAGGCGAGGACGTGCGAGAAGAAGCTGAGGACCAAAGACAAACGAAAAGGCCACACACTCATAGGAAAGCAGGGTAAGAGGAGAGAGGCTGGCTTTAAAGCTTAATGAATCGCGTTTACCATCCGTGCCACAAAATAAAGACCAATCTCATGAGTAGTAACAAGTGAAGCATCAGATCGCTGTTGTGAGCGATTGACCCGGTGTGCGAGTGAGCTGGATGCTGTTTTTTTTTCTTTTCCTTTTTTCTCCTTCATCTTCAGCTGAGAAGATATTACCAGGCCAACAGTATCCTGGCAACCATCAGCCCAGCTCTGCTCTCGGCACGGACCACATGCTGCTCCAGACTCAGTGTGTGTTAATGTGTGCGTGTGTGGCTGTTGTGAGGCTGACACGCACCAACACTTCAGAGAAATCTTTCTTTGCTTTATGCGAGGTTGTGACGTGGATCTCAGCTTGACTTCGCCTTTGTAGTCACCTTGTCAGGCCGAAGATGAGGATCGGTTATTCATATATTCACGGTGTCGGCTCGGTTTGCATCTCTCGGAGCAGGTGGTGGAAAAGTCAGGTCGGAGACGAGGTGCGTTTTGGGCCAACGCTCACAGGTTACAGCCGTGACTCAGCACACAGCCGCGTTTAAGCGATTTACCTGCAGATGGAGCAGACACAGAGTACGGCAGGTAGCTGCAGTCCTCGTGTGAAACTGTCTCAGCGACCGGACAGTGTAACCCCATCCCTTCCTCTGTGCTGCAGTGCAACACCCGTTCTTGCTGAGTAACAGGGAAAAGACAGTTGATACATTTAATTTATTTTCTGCAAGATGGCATCTAGAGAACATGCAAATGCCGGCTGTAGCTTATTCTTGAAGCCGGAAACTGATAGACCTCAGCTGTGAGCTAACACAGCACATGCACAAACACAAAGGGCACGGCAGAGGAAGTGAAACTTGGCAGCCGCTTACCTTCTGCTACCAAAGCGAGCAAGAAGCAGGAAGACGATTAAAGGCGACCTGTTATGCTCATTTCCAGCTCCGTGCTTTTACTGTAAGAGCAGATGCATGAGTTAAAAATAATCGTTATTTATCTTATATTGGTTATGAGGACAGATGTCTTGTGATTGGATGCCCCTCCCACTTAAGGTTTGAACTGGGAGGGGCATCCAATGCTGACATATAAAGGATATCTACTCTCACTCTCAAAGTACTCTCTCGTGCGTTTGGCTAAGTCATGCTTCTTATCAACATTTATGATTTTTAAACTACTCAAAAAATTAAAGGAACACTTTCATTGAAGTGTTGGAATTAAACTTGTGGGATATTGATCCGCTCGGTTTAGTAGCAGAGGGGTTTTAATCAGTTTCAGCTGCTTTGGTGTTGATGAATTTAACAACAGGTGCACTCGAGGGGCAATCATGAGACAACCCCCAAAACCATTCCTGTTTTGGGGGTTGTTCTTAGCTACTTGTAGCATGAGGCATGGTTGGCATCAACATAATACTCCAACTCCTCCAGGATGGCACATCAATACGTGCCATTGCCAAAAGGTTTGTGGTTCCTCCCAGCACAGTCTCAATCAGACCTGATCTGACCAAACAATCATGAGGGTGGCTCCTGAAGCCAGGTTTGCATTTGCCATAGAATACCAGGATTAGCAGGTCCATCACTGGCGCTCTGTGATTTTCACAGATGAGTGCAGGTTCACCCTGAGCACATGAAATAGACATGAAAGGAAGTGGAGAAGCTGTGGAGAACATAATGCTGCCTTTAACATCATTCAGCATGACCGATTAAGTGGTGGGTCAGTGATGGTCTGGGAAAGCATATCCATGGAGGAACACACAGACCTCTACAGGTTAGGTACTCCCATTAGGTATCAGGATGAAACCCTTACTTCCATTCCCAGACTTTATGCTGGTGCAATGGGTGGTAAATGACAATCTCCAACTTCATGTGGCACGAGTATGGAGGCAGTTCTTGGAGAATGAAGGACCTGACACCACTGACTGCCCCCCTTGCTGTTATAGGCAAAATAGAGTAATCTGCTCTATAATTCACTTTGATAATTTACTTTGATTTTCAGGGTGTCTTTGAATCCAGCTCTCTGTAGGATGATCATTTTCATTTCCATCAAACAATGTGGGATCCTTTCATGCCTAACACACTACAGAGTCAACATCAGCATAGAAACATCTGATGTGTTTTTTAAGTGTTCACTTAATTTTCTTGAGCGGTGTATATACAAAAATAAGGAGCTTCCTTAACGGCATAACAGGTCCCCTTTAAGGTCCCCTTTTTTTGTGTGTTTTATGCTCTAAACTTCCTGTTTAAGCAGTTTTAACATTTTAAAAATCATCTTGTTCCACAGTATGAAATGTTTTGTGCACGTGTTACTGAAGCTGTGTGTGATTCAGTCAGAGGTAAATCATCAGCATCATTTCAGACACAGAAATAAAATTCAGCTGGCACATCTGATATTTTCATTGAGATGTGGACAACTTAATGCACCTGTACTTACTAGTAGTTTGGAGCACAGACGCTCCTGTTAGTGTGATTAGTGGCAGAAAATAGCCTCACCAGTTACCAAATTGGTCTTAAATGGGCCAGACCAGTAAAACCGTTAAACACCTTGAAATTATTACTTTTTAATTCTATGAAATCATTCTGAAAACCTCTGTATTTCATGGAGAAATAAGCTGAAAAGCCTGAGACTTTATAACGTACCTGTCTGACCACAAATTTTATCTCTTGAGCTTGGATCCTTGGGTTCACGCTCTGGCATCTGGCCCTGTGGTCTGAAGAAGTATCTATAGACTGCTGTATATAAAGAGCATTAGAGGGGAGCAGTCTGCACATGGCAGGCTTTTAGTGGGTTACTATAGTAATGTAAATGGATTAAAAACCACCGCTCAGCTCGAGCGACTCCCAATGAGTGAGCTAAATGATTCACGGCTGGATTTGGGCCGTGCTGTAATTGAATACAGCATATGCGTATCGGACACAAACTGCGATCGGTGTCATCTGTGACTGGACGTCCGGCTTCGCTCTGCACATATTGCTTAGACAGAAGGATGCAGAGGGGAAAATTAGACAAGTGCAGATGGGTAAGAAACGAAAGTGCGTCTGCTGCGTCCTCCATGTGCCGGTTGTGTATTTTGATGCAGGTTGCCAGATCCAGGGTACTGTATGCATTTTGTTGTTTCCTCCCGTCCAGGTCGCCAGCCATGGGGAACCTCATTAAGGTCCTTGGCAAGGATTTAGAGAACTGTCCACATTTTTTCCTGGACTTTGAAAGTAAGTGGGCGCCAGGGTTGCGTGCGTGTGTCCGTGTGGTTGAATTGTGAGTGTGTGGAGTGGAAGTGTGCGGCGGGGAGGGGGTGGGGCCAGCTGGTGGTGATTTGATGGAGTGTTGTTGAGGGTGTGGTTTGTCATTAACAGACACTCTTTAGTCCCACTCTCCACACGAGGAAACCTTTGTTTCATGAACTTGTCAGCCGTCCACAGAAATCAGATATGATAAGAAGCCAATAAACAGAAACAAACCAAACCAACAACCTCAGAGGCTTGACCGTAAAATAGAGAACAGTGACCACAGGTAATTGAAAGCAGCACATGGGGTTTTTGTCTCATAGAAACTCACCTTTTAAAAATAAATCTGTTTCACTGCTCCAGTTTTGAGTCACATACATGACGCGCAGCTTTCATAAAGCGGATGCAAACACTCCGAGCTGCACCAGTGCTACGCAACCAGCTGTACTTTGCATCAAATTATACCAAACTAGAAACAATCTGTTTTTATTACACAGTAAACAAACACAGTCATATCCTAATTACACTGCAGTTATGGGCTAATTAGAACCTGTGCATAATGTTTCTGGATCCAAAAGTATTAAACCTAATTACATCAGGTTTGGCCTTTATTACAATGGGATGAAACACAGAGCAAGACTTTATTCTTTCACTTCATTTTACCGCACGGTTCTCTTGTAATGTGTTTCATTCACACTCTGGATGGGTCCAGTGTTCAGACAACAGAATTATGATAGTTTGGCATTTAAAAAACTATTGTTTCATTCTCAGTTTTCTTTGTATCAGTTTAGTTTTAGTTAGTTTCCAGAGTGGGCAGGGGGAACATTTGTTTTAACACTTTACAAAGGCCCTCGCAGTACTGCAGACATCACAGGCTCAACAAAGCCTCATCAGGCAAGCTGTTAGTGGTTTATCAATGAGTGTATTCCTGCTTTACAGTTTATTTGTATTTTAAAATAACTGATTTTTTTAATCACCTAGTTTTAGCTTTTAGTTTAGTTTTAGTTAACTATAATAACATTGCCTGACTAGTTTTAGGCCAGTGTTAGGCTGTTGGAGGTAATCCTATAACACCAAGGGCAGCATATTTTATACACGAATGTTTGAGATCAATAAATTGCACGTGGAGGCAGAATGCAGGAAAACTGATACGAGCTCACTAACTCAACAGGACTTGAACGCATCAAGATGCATGTGAAGCAGTTATAATGAGCAACGAATGGCCTTGTAATAAAGTAAAAACATGGTCAATAAAGGCCCAGTAAATGTCCTCTGAGTGCAGTGTTTTCAGTGTCAACCAGTACACAGAGTAGAACTGGATACTCTGGATCTGACAGTATATGGAGTTTCTAACTAGATCATAATTGTGTCTAATCAGAACATATTATTCCTAGTGTTTGTCTAATTTGATAAAAGGAAGCACAGCTGATTAAGTGTTATTAATGCAACAAAAATAAAGTGCGCCCCTGAAGTATTTTTTAAGTTGTTATCTTTATATTTCATGACTTTATTGCAACTTTTGATTTAAATTTTCTGCACCAGACTCAGGTAGTTTCTTGTATTTGAGTCTTAATGAGTTTCCTGTCTTCCAAAATAAATAAATTCAAACTGTTCTTGCGACAAACTGTCTTGAGTTTGAGGCTAGTAGCGCATTCCTGCGACCTTTGATCTTTAAGTTTGATTGCTTTTGGAGTCGGCGCCTCCTCATGAAGGACTATTTTATCTCAGAGGAAACAGTGAGAGTGGGATTAAAGACGTTCTGCGTCCACGTTGTCACGCTCCACCCAGGACATACTCCCATCATGCCATTCCAACAACGTCCTCTCATCCACCTCGACACCCTCACCTCTCGCACAACGCACACCCACCTACACCTCACAGGCACGCACACGCGCGCACAACCCCTCCCAACACCCATCCCCTCATCACCCACAGACTTCTCCCCTCTCTCTGTTCCAGGGGGCTCATGGGAAACCTCCTGAAAGTGCTGGCTTGCGCCGAACTTGAGCATGGCCCAATAGTTTTCCTTGACTTTGAACGTGAGACCATCCGCTTCTTATTTTTTTGAGTTATCCCTTTCTCTCTGTTGCTTCCCCCCACCTCCCTTTTATTTTTTGGTCATATCATCCATCTTAGCTGACCATTGTGTCATCTTTAGGTCCTTAGTTATATTTTATTTCCTCCTCAGCTCTCCCCCTCCTCACCCCTCCTCCTTTTCTTTATCTTTTTGATTTCTGCTCTGGGGACCGGCATTTGAAAGGCATCTGGCTTTTTTCTGAAGGGTCTTACTCACGCACGCTGCATCCTATTAGACGCACACAGATGCACAATAGCAGGGTGGCACTGCAGCAAAAAGAAAATAAATTCATTAATGTTAAAAACTGACAACAATAACACTTTGCTCTCCAAAGCTACAAAGAGCTGAGGAGAAACAAACAGAGAATGCCAGTCCTGTGTGGGTTTCTGTTGCTCGGGGATGACGATGGCTAACAAAAAGTCTATCGTCATCCCTCCACCTCCTCATCTCCTCATCCCCTATTGTACGTCTAATCTATTTGTGAGTGTGAGTGTGCGTTAGGAGAGTGGGACTGATAAAGAGAAGCTGAAGTATGACTGCGAAGAAAGGCTAATGATTTCACCTCTGTCCCCTCTTTTCTAATTTACCCAGTCAGTGAAGTATGAACTTTGCAAAGCATCCATCCTAACAAATCTTTTTTTTTACTTCATTACTCAGTGTTAAAATCTTTTTGTAGTTCATGTCAATTTATAATTTACTTTGTTAGCAGGCTCGGCATTTAACACGAAGTTCAGTAAGCGAGCTGACATGTTTAGAGGTTTTCTTGAATTGTTGGGTATCTTTGAGATTCAGATTTTTTGGTTCCTCTTTTGATGAGTTTAAAAAGCTCTGAAAAAACATCTCCAGTGAAGATCTTAACACTGATTATGAATTTTTAAGATGTAGATGTTTTGCACTGTATCCCCAACATGCTCTGCACCTCCTCAAACATCCCCTTCTCCCTTTTAACAGCTGCCTTCCTCCCCCCTCTTTCTTTACCCGCTGTTACAGTGGGAGTGGGAGAGCTCACTGCTGGCGAGAGACGTCAGCCGTCAAATAGGTTGAATTTCCCCTTCGTGTGTCGGGCCTGTGATTCACTTTACTTCAAAAGCGAGTTGGGATGAGTCAGACTCGGGAATGGCAGCTTTGGGAGCGTCCCTCCCCCTCGTCATCCAACCCCCTGTGCCATCTGTGAGCTCTCCTTCTCCACCTGGAGACACACACTCACCTCTGTCACACAGCTTCAAGTTTGGTTTCTCGTTAAACTATTTATAGCTCGGCGCTGATCGCACCTCCCTAACACCCTTTGAAGGATAAGATGCAATTCTGACCACTGACAAAAAGATTATCAGGATGGATGTCTGGACTGAGCTGCTGTCTGTGAAAATCATCAGTCAGCTTGAAGTCATCCTCAGACTGAATTATAGCAACCTCTGTGTCTTAAAACATCTGAGGGAAATGGTTTGAGAATCAGGGAAGATGCTGCTCTCACCGTGAAGCTGTAATCAGCCAACCTCGGAGAGAGAAACAAACTTGCACACATTGTAAAAATCCCCCTGGGAGCACGACTAAATACAAAAATCAACAAGTGAAGCTTGAGGTTTATCAGAGTTGTGTAATACTGTGATAATTATGGCCAGATTTCCCATATCCATAATGAAACTTCTATCACAAACAGTGTGTGCGAATCACTCACTGCACTGTGTATTATAGTTAGGGTCGTCCATTTTATTCAATTATCTAAATTTTGTGTCATTAAATGTATATCGACGACTCCCCGCAGTAATTCCATCCACTGCTGAGCTTTATATATGCAAAGTAATAAAATTAAGTAATTCAGCTCAATTCATTTTAATTTTTATGTTGCTAAATTACAACAACGAATGAACCATAAAAGTGAAGTCGAAACCTTAGACCCTATCCCTGGCTTTTTTCGTTATACTAGCACATGCTAACACATTCTCTGCTCCAGGTTCATATCATTAACTGTATATTAAAAATGGACATCACAACTGTAATGCAACCAATTGGTTTTGTGGAAAATAATTTTTTTAACGCCTCTAATTTGGCATTTTGGCCGCCAACCTTCTCTGCTGATCAGCTAATACTGACTGCTAGCTAGCTAGCTTAGCTAATGAGGTGCATGTGTTATTTACTTAGCCGTACTTGGGATGCTAATTTGGCTAATTTGGCTAGCAAAAGACAGGGTTAAAACAAAATGTAGAAAACTACACAGCAACGCCTTTTAGTAGAACCAAAAGTGCGGGCTGGATATGAATGAGAAAACTATATGATCACAATGTAGCCTTGCCTGAAGTATACTATGCTGTATTGTTTGAACTACAGCTTACAAAATGAAATCATTCTGTATTAAGGAAGACTTTAAATTTGCAACTCAGACCATAAATAGTTCTTTAGCTAATAAATCAAATTAGCAGCAGGATAATTGTCTGTAAAGATCTACAATTGATTCATTTTTTCCAACCAAAGGCGTCCCCCCTGCTGGCCAGTATAAAGAATGCAGGTTTAAGGCAGTTCAAGACTGATACCTGAATATGTCCATCTTTTATATAGAACTAATTTAGCTTACAAATATGAGGGCGTTATCAATCACCAGATCTTGGCATAATAACTGTATTTAATACAAAGCAATTATGCTATACTTAATTAATACCAAGTAAACATAATGTGTTGTTTACCAGAATAATGAATGAGGGCATTAGAGAGAATTCACTAATGTTGCACTGCTTGCTGTGCTTATAATGGCAGCTGGTGTGCACGCAGGACAGCAAATATACCTTGATTACTATTTCTCCGCAGGGAAGCAGCGCCTCGGGGTGCAAAAATAATCAGCAGAGCTACCACATGTAGCGAGCTGCCTGGGCACACTCCCACTCTTTATACCTGAGTCAGAGGCAAGAAAAACCAAACACATCGCTGACTCAAGAGGACCCCTCCTAAATTGTGTCCCTGTAAGCACTTCATCTGTCCTGCGTGCATACATGAACGAAGCAAAAACTATGACTGGAAAAAAAACTGAGATAAAGACTGAGCATGCCCAGAGGTTTCCCTCTCTGCTGCTTATTTTTTCTCACAATTAAACTTAACAGTCATTAAAAAAATCATTTCACAGACGTGTAAAGGGAAAAGGAGAGTGAGAAAAATCTATAAGACTATTACATCAGTCTGATTCTGCTGTTACACCTACCCAGGCTTTGGTACATTTATGCTGAATGGGCAGTGGACATGAATGGTTGCTTTTACAGCGACTGCAGCCCATCAAAATGCAAAACTCTGTTCCCTGACACGAAGCCGACTTGTTATCTGAGTAACCACAAACCTCGCTGTGTGACAGAGCGCTCTATGAGTGTCCTGTTATTGTTCTACCTGTAGGTTGTTTATTGGCCAGATTTTAACCTTAGATATTTACACATGCAATGATTACTCGTTGTCTTTCTAATTCTTTGCTAATCTCAGGTTTCTATCTGGCCTTCTAGGACATCATCATCTAAGCTCCTCACTAATACTCGCTCTCCCTTTCCTCCCTCCTCTCTGTATCCCATCACCTCTGCTCTTGATATTTTCATCCCGTCATGACACTTTCACTTCCCACTCCCCGTCCTTCTTCCCTCCCTGCCCTCACAGATGCCCAGCCCACAGAGGCAGAGACGGCTGTGTGGAACCAGGTCAGCGCCGTGCTGGAGGAGGCTCACGGGATCTTGGCCGAGCTGCAGTCCTACAACGGAGCGGGCCAGGAGATACGAGAAGTGAGCATGAATCAGTCGAGCCCCCACTGCAGCATGGGGAAACTAGCGCTCATGTGTGATGCCAGGGTTGGAATTCTGCCGTGCAGCAGGCACCGAATCTAAATCCAAGCAGAAACACCAGAAACATTTCATGCAATATGTCGTTTCCATAAATATAATCAGCTACAAAGCTGGTACACTGGTCCTGATGATCACATGGCACACAATTAACTGTCTTCAGAAACATTAATGAGAACCACTGCTGATAGCTTAGCTGTCAGGATAACTACATTTATAAGTGCTGAATCATTTCCTTTCCTTGCATCCTAACTCTGAGGACACAGATACTGTATGCCGGGGGCTAAAGAGAAGATAATGTATTATTAATTCCACAGCGGAGAGAAACTGAGGAGAGTATTATTACCAAACCTGAGTAAAGATAACTAGAAATATATCTTTAGTGATAACATGCAACCAACAGATATCCTGCTCTGCATTTTTTTTACACTGAGGCATTTGTGAAATATTAATCTTGACTAAATATGTGTCAGTTTGCACACTTTTCCAGGACAGAAATGGGAACATTTAGATGATCCGGGTTCAAAAAGTCTTCTTTCATATTGTTGGCAAATTGGAGTAAACGTTTTTTTTTTTGCAGGAGGGATTTTGGAAATCTGTGTTTATCACTCCATAACAGCCATTAAAAAGTCAATTTTCACTGTGTTTTAGCAATGAAAGGGGCCATAAATCAGGCTTTGAAGGGCTATATGAACAGCTGATTGTGTAAAAACCATCAGGATAGAGACAGAACAGTAAAGCTGTTCGAGTGGAGCTTTTTGGCTCAGAGAATTAGAAAAACTCATAGTTCTTTCTTTTTTAAAAAAACTGGGGATATCTGCTGGCAAAAGAAAGTGCCGTCACAACAGGATTATATGTCTTATATATTCAATAGAATAATTTACAGGAAAACAAATAATGACAGTCATAAGGGCTTATTATGGAGCTGATATGTATTGATTTGCTGCTGAAAATAGCTCTGAGCAAATGCACCAATTTCCTCTTGTTTAAACAGCTTTAAGCACTGAGTTAGCCTCTGCAAAATGTTTTTGTGCCCTATTTAAAGATTTACACCAAAAGTAGGTGCAAAACGAATATATATATCCACACAATGCTGACTTTGACAAATTTGATTACATGTAAATTTTACCTCTAATTTATTTTACAGGAGTACAACATAGAAGGCACATTGGCTTTAATGAAACTCGAGGAATGACTAATTAAAAATGAATAATAATTTGAAGAAATAAATGCTTGATTTTATACATTTCAGTTACATTTTACCCAAAATAATTATTCAATGTTTATGAGGGCAAATAATTGTTGTTGTTTTCTTTCAGTGTAAAGAAATTGAGAGTTGGGATTAACATGTTTTGATTTGATTTATTCATTGATTGTTATTTGTTGATGCAAAGAAATATAAACCATTCATACTTTTTCTTATCATATTGATCAGGTGAGATTATTTGAGGCCAATTTGAGTGTGTGATACTGTGTGTGAGATCACTGGTCAGAGGAAAGGACAGGGAACAAAAAAGATGGCAAGGTTTTTAAAAGTAACATCTGTCTGTTACTGGGCTGCAGGCCATCCAGAACCCGGGCGACCTCGCTCTTCAGGAGAAGGCCTGGAACGCAGTGTGCCCTCTGGTGGCCAAGCTGAAGCGGTTCTACGAGTTCTCCCTCCGACTGGGTGAGTGTGGCCGTTGCAGTCTATGAAAGAATTTCAGAGAGTGATGTAACCCCATCTCTGGTGGCCATGTTGGAGCTGAAAGCATCTGTAACATGAACCTAAAATCTAAAGAGACGGCATTTGCTGTCAGCTGCTCATTTATGAGCGAAGCAGGGTTGTCAGCTGGGTGGATGTGCTGCAGAGCCAGAAGAAGGCAGGAAAATGAGTGGAGATGAGGTGATGGGTGCACCCCTCAGATTAAAGTCTCTGTCCTCTGTTTATCTCAGTTCGAAACAGCTGTTTTGGTATTTAGCATCTGTGCTTCATTGCACAGGCTAGAGCTGATCGTACTACAGCACTAGCTATTATACTGCTTTTTCTTTTGTTGTTTTTTTAAATTGGCATCTTTTCAGCAATTTCAGGATGTGATAAATCCTGTTAAGACTGACTGATGAATGCAGTCAAAAGTGTCCACGCCGCATATGTTACCTTAAACAGGAAGGAGGTCCGTTTAAAGTGATAAAAACGGGCCTTGGCATTGCTGAGAGCTCCATCAGCATTGTGCCTTTCCAGGCTTGACAGCATTCCTCAACAAACACACACACACTCACATTCATACTCCATGATGTCCTCTCAGCCATCTCTGCAGCATCCTGACCCAGCAGCAGCCAGGCAGCCGTTGCTACGGAAACAGTGGTCCACAGTGGTCCAGCGCGGAGAGAAAGAGAGAGAGTAGCGAGAGGAGTATGAGCAGAGAAATAGAGTTCAGCTGCCGCCTCTGCGCTGCCTTCCAATAATACTTTCAGTCTCAGGGACATTGTGTTCTCAGATTACCATACAATGGGAGCTGGCCAATAATTGATGATAATGTCTGGCGGCTAATGTAGCTATGAGATTCAGTACAATAGAGATCACATACTTCCATCGTGCTGAAGAGAAAGGGTGGCAGTATGTCCCAGCACCACCTTTTGCTTTATAGTTATTTGATCAAAGGGGGAAGTAAGGGGTGGAGAGGTCCAGTTTAACATTAACAGCTGCTGCATCTCTATAAGCTGTCAGAGGATGGAGATCGTGCACTCTGTGCTCTCGGCAGGAGCGAGACTGGGGTATCAGCCCAGGGCCTCAGATGAAACAATTCCATGTTGTATTTATAGAAGGCACTCGTGCATTTTTAATGCAGAGGAAGGGATGGAGCCCCAGGAGCTTTTGCTTCTGAGGCATCAACACCACTGTACGTACAGCCTCTGGAGTCCGGCTATGGAGTGTGATTTGTTGCAGACTTAGTTTAACATCATGGATGACACGGGTGGGATAACCATGGCCACTGCCTCTGCAGTCACAGCCACACTCAGGCTGTGTGAGCAGCTGTAGCTTGATCTGTGAACATGCAACATGCAGTCTTTGTTTTAGCAAGGAGCACTCTGTTAAGCCTGTGGTCACTGAGGGCAAATAAAATCCTGCTGAGAGCCTTAATGAAAGTGAAACTAGCAAGACAATAGCAAGGAGAGCGTGCAAGTGGGTATTTTGGATTTCATGCTAAGCAGAAAAACATTCATCATGTTCACCATCACGACCGATGTCTGTTTACCAGTCCAGGGAGGTACCACTGCATTTGCTTCCAAAAAAATAAATACATAAAATGTTGGACTGATCTGCCTCTAATCATCTCACTCACGACCTACAAACTGAAACTGCTCCCTGAGAGCTCTGCCTCGAAGTGTAGCTAAATATGCAACATTAAAAATGCAACAGACATGCTGTTTCAAATCCCGTGGCTCCACTGACTGTATATAAAAGATGGAAATTGCCACTGTGACGAAACCTGTTGGTTTGTTGAATTCAATTTTGGAACTTTATGCAAAGAGTAAACGTATGGAACATAAAACTTCTTGCATGTCCTCTTAGGTCACGAGACTGCAAATAGTATAGATCTGTCAAATTGTGTATAGCATATAGTGTTTGTGGGAGCTGCCAGCCACAAGTGGCCTGTCTGCCGAACCGCAGTCTTCAAACGTTCTTTCTGCTGTGATAAAGCCATTTTGGTGTTTATACCGTGATAAACTTGACCCCTTGTCCCAGGTGCCCACGCTGAGCTGTTGCATAAAGAAATAAATAAAGAAATTCTTTCCTTTGCTGTCAAAAACGATTTCAGTGTAGAGGCAGCAGTCCTTTACTAAATTTACACCTTTGTGCATCCTAACGGGACACACATCAGAGAAAGACTTTTAAGGCTCATGCAAAATGTAGAAGACACGCTGGTAATGATTTCCTTTTAGGAAAGCAGCTTTTCCGTTCGCATACTTTCACTTCCTCTCAAGCTTTATTTCTCAGACCAACTGTTTGGCTCCAATTCTAAATTTTTGGACACCTGAATAATACAATAACACAGAGAAAACATCCAACAATCAAACAACCCCCCTTTGAGCAAGCACTTGGCGAAAGTGGGAAGGAAAAACTCCCTTTTAACAGGAAGAAACCTCTAGAAAAACGAGGCTCAGGGAGGGGCGGCCATGTGGTGTGACTGGTTGGGGTTGAGGGGAGGTAGATAAGACAAAAGACACGTTGTGGAAGAGAGCCAGAGATTGATGACAACGATGATTAAATGTATGTATTTTAGAGAAAGAAAAAAGAAGAAACACTCAGATCCTGGCTAGATTAGAGAGGATTACATAAATCTGACCAAACTAAGATAAAACAGCCAGGTCCTAGCTGGACCGGATGAATTTCTGACTTGGATCCATTTGCAGAGAACGCCTTGCGCAGCCTGCTGGAGGCGCTGACGAGCCCGCCGTATGCTCCCATGCAGCACCTGGAGAGAGAGCAAGCCTTGGCCAAGCAGTTTGCCGAGATCCTCCATTTCACCCTCAGCTTCGATGAACTAAAGGTGAAGGAAATCTTTGTTGTTGTTGTTGTTGTTCTAATTACAGCCCTCAGACGCTGACCTTTACTGTACTGAAACATCAATACGGTCATTGAGCAGCCTTTGTGAAACTAAATGCCACCTTCTCTCTCGCCGTGCAGATGACAAATCCAGCCATTCAGAATGACTTCAGCTACTACAGGAGGACCATAAGCAGGAACAGGCTGAACAACCAGCAGGTGAGGCAGGCCTGGCTCCGGCTGTTTGCACTGCATACATGATCAAATGGTTCAGCGCGGCTTCAGTTCCCCTCTTTAATCATTAATGAAGTGGGGGTGTCCGTTTCCTTCCAACGACGCAAAGACGTGTACAATCAATATTTCATCTAACTTTCGAGTTATACAAATTAACACCAGGGTTGCCTCCATCATTACGCTCTCCTTTCACCAGCTGTGTGACATGATTATCGGATCGTCTGAAAACAAACGTTTGTTTTAAGTGTGACATCTGTTTTGTTTCGGCGCGCAGCTGGAAGCGGAGAACGAGGTTAACAACGAGATGGCAAACAGGATGTCGCTGTTCTACGCCGAAGCAACACCAATGCTGAAGACTCTGAGTAACGCCACCACCAAGTTTGTCTCAGAGGTACACGTCATCCACTCACTGCTTACATGTGTTTATGGCTTAGTCCACATTTCCAAGAACAACATTCCAATCAATAATATTGAATAAAGTAGTGGTGACACAATTCATCCTCAACAATGAGTAAAAGACCAAAAGTATTCAATGCAGACAAGGTTTCTGGTAGTATTACCCCATTTTTTGGATAAAAGTAAAATGTAGCTCTTTGGAGGATAATTCTACCAGCTGTAATTCAGTGAGTGAATCTGATCAGCATCATCCCTTTAAATTTAACTCGATGTCTTTAGTGTAACCTAACACTGACCAGGAACACCACAGCTGCTCTGCACCAGTCAGCCATGTCAACACAGCACTGTAGACCAGGGGTAGGCAACTCCAGGCCTCGAGTGCCGGTGTCCTGCAGATTTTAGATGACTCCTTGATCCAACACAGCTGATTTAAATGGCTAAATTACTTCCTCGACATGTCTTGAAGTTCTCCAGAGGCCTGGTAATCAACTAATCATTTGATTCAGGTGTGTTGACCCAGGGTGATATCTAAAACCTGCAGGACACCGGCCCTCGAGGCCTGGAGTTGCCCACCCCTGCTGTAGACTAACCACTTTAGCAAGTTTCTTGAATTCTACTGTATTAATTTGCAGTGAAACGTTCATATATGACAGTAAGCAGGCCCCAGCTGATGGGGGATAGAGCTGCTCCAAGTGTGGGGCGACCAAGTAAAAAACACAAAATAAAATAATGATTTTTATTTAGAGAAATTAAAGAAACAAGAGTACCAGATGTCTCCTGCTAACCTGAGAGCAAATGAAAGGACTGGGTTGTTAACTGCTTTTGGGTTCTGAAGAGGGGCTAACCCAAGTTACAATGACCAGTATAAAAGGGAGTCCTGTTTCCCTCACTGTGGGGGTCTTAGTCGTAGACATGGTCATTGTCAAGACATCTGGGTGTAACTAAAGTAGAGTCAGTAGAGTAAAGTAGAGTCTGTCAGCACAGAAGTGAAGCTCAATAAAGCGAATAGAAGAACAGAGCCCTCTATATAGATTAGATCCGAATTACTGTGTGTCTCTATGTACAGTCTGTTTTTGCTGTGCTTGTAAGAAAAAAAAACAAAACCATATACTTCCATGGTACACGCGAGTCTTCACCTCAGGCGGCCATGTTGAACTGCTGTGTGAAACATCCGCCTTCTCCTGTCAAAACACAGTTTTACGGGCGAGGCAGCAGCCTTTTGCTAACTTTACACCTCGATGCATCCTGATGGGCCGCACGCCACACGGAGAAAGACTTCAGAGGTTCGTGCGATATGTAGAGGGCGTGCTGGGGATGAACGCCTTCCAGCATAGCAGCTGCACAGTCCTCATGCTTTTTGCCCTGCTTTGTCGCCACCTTGTGGCAGAACATTTTGGCACAGGCAGTGCAGTAAAGTGTAGAGGACTTTCTCACATTGTCCGCTCATCCAAATGGAAGCCATTTTTACATCTTCTTTCATTTCCCTTTTGTCTTTCATCAGAATAAGACCTTGCCCATAGAGGACACCACAGACTGCCTGAGCACCATGGCCTGCGTGTGTCGCGTCATGCTGGAGACTCCGTAAGTGCTTCTTGTCTCCCCATCTTCTTTCGCTCAGTCCATCTCCTTGAATGTCAGAATCCTAAATTCGAATTAACAGGCTCTTTCACTGTGCCGTATAATATGTCAGTAATTCAATAGCTCGACGCTCAGAGTCCTTCATGCTAAAATGTTTAATCTTTATTCTGTGTGTCTTTGTGTGAAGAAACTCTCATCTATAACTTGTTCACTGGTATTTGGTGGACACCCCCAACCCCCGCAGTGCCCTCTGTTAAACAGAGCAAATATTAACTCATGTTTTTGTCCCAGGGAGTACCGCTGTCGGTTCACCAACACAGACACTATGCTGTTCTGCATGAGGGTGATGGTGGGTGTCATCATCCTGTATGACCACGTTCACCCCGTCGGGGCTTTCGCCAAGACCTCCAAAATTGATGTGAGTACAGCAAATACTTGCATACTTTGAAAATAATGGCCCTCTGTTGCATGTGTAAAGCAAAGGAGGTTAATCTAGTGTACCTGAGGGGTCCTGCTAAGCCAACAGTTTGGTTAGGCTGGTCATCAATCACAACAATCACTTTAGTTGACCAGTTGCATTCATTTCAATCTCCATATTTTTTATTACTGAGCTCCACCAGAGAAGATCTGCACGACTCAAAGCTCAGAATAATCTTTTTATGTCATAACAGCTCAGATTATCTGCTCTCTGGAGCACGTTTGTAAAGAAGTGTGATGAGTGTTGAGTAACAGACCTAGAAAAAAATGAAAATATTTAAATTTTGCATAAGATGGATGGAGTTGTTAATAGCTGGGTATTGTGAGCATGAATGTAATGTGGGCTTTGTTATGATTGATGCAAATCCATTAGCTTCAAATCCCCAAGTTTCATACCAAGATGAATGCCTCTCTTAAATGTTTTTGTCTTTTTCTATCCATTTATTACCAGGACAAACTGATAATAAGGAATTACAAATAGACGAGCACAGAACTGATACACGCGGTCCTTTATCAGTGACCCACATCTTCAGCTTCAGTTAATTGACGTTGGTGGGCATTTGTTCATGCACAGCTCTCTTTAACTCCTGTTGCACTTTGATTGCAGCACATTTTCTTTTTCAGACCTTTTGTTGTAGAGTTGCTGCTGTGCTTGGGAACCAGCTGTTTTGACAGATGGCCTCACATTTGACTGTAGAGTACTTCAATATACAGAGGAGCTCATGGTTGACTGAATGACAGCAAGGTGTCATTAAGGGCTGCAAAACAAGCCCAAGTCCTCACCCCTCCACCACTGTTCTTGACAGTTGGTTATGGGGTGTTTGTAGTGATATGCAACGTTTGGTTTTCTCCTTTCTGCGCATTACGTAGTGCTCTCCACCAAAGTAGAGATATCAAACATCTCCACTTTGGCCCTGTCTGTCCAAAGGGCATTGTTCCAGAAGTCTTGTGGTTTATTTGGATGCAACTTTGCAAACACAAGACATGCTGAGAGCAGAAGCTTTCTCATGGCAAACCTTCCAGTCAAGCCGTACATGTTTAATCTTTTTCTAACTGTACTGAATTTTAATGAATGCTAAAATTTAACATTCTAGCCGAGGCCTGTAGAGTCTGAGTTGTCAGTCTCAGTTTCATTTATTTGCTGCATTTCATTATAGTTCATCTGAGTGTGTTTACAGTAGATAAAAAAA